ACAAGAGGGATGAGATCAGTGATGATTTTAATAAATGTGATTTTTAAAATACTGAATAAGTGGCTTCCCTGGTGGCGCAGTGGTTGAGAATCCGCCTGCTAATGCAGGGGGCACGGGTTCGAGCCCTGGTCCGGGAAGATCCCATATGCCGCGGAGCAACTAAGCCCGTGTGCCACAACTACTGAGCCTGCGCGTCTGGAGCCTGTGCTCCGCAACAAGAGAGGCCACGATAGTGAGAGGCCCGCGCACCGTGATGAAGAGTGGCCCTTGCTCGCCGCAACTGGAGAGAGCCCTCGCACAGAAACGAAGACCCAACACAGCAAAAATAAATATAAAATAAATAAATAAATTTAAAAAAATAATAAAATAAAATAAAATAAAATACTGAATAGGGACTTCCCTCGTGGTCCAGTGGCTAAGACTCCATGCTCTCAATGCAGGGGGCCCGGGCTCGATCCCTGGTCAGGAAAATAGATCCCGCATGCCGCAACTAAAGATCCTCCACGCGGCAACGGAAGATCCCCCATGCCGCAACTAAGACCCGACGCAGCCAAATAAATAAATATTTTTTTAAAAAAGAATCTACCATTTCTTGAGTTTTGCTAGTATCGAATAAGAGTATCCAGAGGTCCTGCTTGGTCTGGGCTGCTTTAAAGCGGCTCAAGCAGCTCTCGCAGCTCTGGCCATCAAAACGCACTTTTGCCTGGTCATAGCATCTTGCTCTGTCTCCGCCGATGGTCGAGAATTAAGTGATCCCCCGTGTCACGATGGAAGAAGTGAGGGAGGCCGCTGTCCAGATGCAAAGCCCTATCAAGACAGAGTGGAATTCCTGCTGTGTCCTTTTCACCTATTTCCAAGGGGATATTTGCAGCTAGCAGCGTAGTGGACGAACACGTCTCCAGAGCTCTGGGCAATGTCAAGAGCCCACAGGGACTGAGCCCTTCCAGCCAGAGTGGAGATGCGATCCTGAGGAATGTTAAGGAAATCTATTTCCCCCTTGATGGTGGACCTGCCAGTACCAGCCTTGCAGTTGAAAAAAGCCAGCCCCAGAGAGAAGAAAAGATCTGTTTGTTCTTTTACTGAAAACTTCGGTGTGAGGAAGGGAATTCTTTTTTCCAAACCTGCTTATGTTTTTTTTTTGCGGTACGCGGGCCTCTCACTGTTGTGGCCTCTACCGCTGCGCAGCACAGGCTCCAGACGCGCAGGCTCAGCGGCCACGGCTCACGGGCCTAGCCGCTCCGCGGCATGTGGGATCTTCCTGGACCGGGGCACGAACCCGTGTCCCCTGCATCGGCAGGCAGACTCTCAACCACTGTGCCACCAGGGAAGCCCCGGGGGGCTACTCTTCGTTGCGGTGCGCGGGTTTCTCATTGTGGTGGCTTCTCTTGTTGTGGAGCATGGACTCTAGGCATGCGGGCTTCAGTAGTTGTGGCACTCAGGCTCTGTAGTTGTGGCTTGCAGGCACTAGAGAGCAGGCTCAGTAGTTGTGGCGCATGGGCTTAGTTGCTCCATGGCATGTGGGATCCTCCCAGGCCAGGGCTCAGACCCGTGTCCCCTGCATTGGCAGGCGGATTCTTAACCACTGCGCCACCAGGGAAGTCCCTGTTTTTTCTGTAAACTTGTTAAGTGAATCCTGAGCATACGAGATGGTTAAAAGAGCTGCTTACGGGTGGGGAGCATAGAGGCTCACACCCCTTGCACCGACTGCCCTCCTACTTAGAAATCAGCCACCATCAATGGGGTCTTCCACATCAAGACTGACCTTGTGGTACCCCATGGGGTTGTCCCACTCTTCCAACTGAATAGAGATTCCAGGAACAGCCTGATGCTTTCTAGCCCTAAGCAGACTATGGCCAACTTCCCTCTTGCCTCTAACAAAAGCAAAATGGAAATGGGGTGGGCAAGACCCACTGAGAGTGGCTGGACGCTAGACACTCCCTGCATTCTCCAAGTTTGGAAGAATGCTGAAAAGGTCTCTGGCTGGCCCTAATGAATGAGATACTTTCACTCGGAAAATTTGATGCCTCAATTCCAAAAAAGTGATCCAAATGAAATGGCTGAGCAATCTGAGAAGTAACTTCTTGCAAGTTAGTAAACAAAATGCCCCATCCCAAGCGGGGCCTAGAGTAAGTTCTGTATCCAGAACACTTCTTAGATGAGTTCCATGACTTCCTGGCTGCCCTCCCTCTGAGGAGGTGGACGCTGGCACCCCACACCTCACAGGTGCTCATGCTCACCTGACAGCCTTCTGCAGGGGCCCACCTGACTGCCATCACCACGGAACCTTTCCTGTAGTTCTTCCACTGTTAGTAGCATCTGGGAAATAGTAACTTTCTTTTCAGCACAGAACCGTTGGGGCCACCTGTGCGGATACCCACGGCATCTCACACGAATTGGAGGTGAAAGGCATGGCTGGCTCCAAGACTTGGCAGCAGGACACTCCCTCAGATCGTTCCAGATAAAAGGACAAATTTCTCCAAACTCCTTCATCTCTCCAATCTGGTAGACAGCCTGGTGTCCAGTGTGAGCTTGGTATACTTACCCCTGGCAACCCAGAGGCCCCTGCCATCAACGGTCCCCACACAAACCCCACTTGCTCCCATGTAAGAGCTCAGAGGGTGACTAATAATATGACATTTTTGGATTAAAAAGGAAGAGTATCCACAATTATCAGAGAAGGCTAAAGATACCTCTCCCTTTTCCGGCTATGTATCTGTGTGAGACCAGATTTTCTACATTTCCTAGTCCAAAACAACAGGATAACAGAGCGAACGGGGAAGCAAATATGAGAATCCAGCTGTCTTCTATTAAGCCAAACATGAGAGATTTGAAAAATTGTAATATAATGCCCCTCTACTCAATTTTTTTTGGAAAGTGTAGTTATATTTCATAAAACATATTATGTTCACATGTAATGGTTAATTATTAATTTTAGGAGAATTAGTAAATGTTTTTTAATTTCTCAATTTAAATTTCTAATCTGGTGAACATCCCACATAAACAAAAGCTCTTTGGGGTCCTTAATCATTTGTAAGAATGTAAAAGGATCCTGAGACCAACACGTTTGAGAAGAGCTGCTTTGTGGTACGTGCACCTTACCTTATGAGCTAGCTCCACCTTACAGAAGAGGAAACTAAGACATAAAGATTTAAGACCAGTTTAAGGCCACATGGTCAGTGTAGTGCTGGGTATTGTACCCCGGTCTTCTAACTCCAGAGCTTGTATCTGTGACTATAACTCTTTCCTTGAAATTACCTCTGCTAAAATTACCTTTAAGCAGGTAGTTAAAAGACATTTCAACAACATTAAAAAAAAGTCTTCATCATAGTCAACGGATATTTCTTTCTTATTAAGTAGCTACACGATCCTTCCTTAGGCTTGTATCGCAAGTGAAACTGGTGATTGCTGGACCGTCCTCAGTTCGGTTTTTGTTCGGACAATCTGGTTTTCGAATCTGAGTTGGCGTCCCCTTGATAACTCTGCCGGGGAACTGGAAGCTACGGGTTCCAGTTCCCCGGGGACTCTCTCCAGATTTCGCGTGGCTTCCACGCTCAGAACCCTCCCACTCTCAGCACCATCTCTGCCCTCAGACCCACTTTGGGACCTCTAGGGACGCTTCCTGGCCGCTGATTGGCTGGGCCTGACAACAATGGGAGGGACGCGGCTCCGGATTGGACGTAAGAGCCCCTTCTCCTCCCTCGCCCGCGTCCACCGAGCAGCGTCCCACGTGAGAGCGGGATCCCGACTCCAACCAGGGCCTGGGCGGGGTCGAGCGCTCCGCCCCGGGAGCGGGGCTGCCACTAAGAGCCCTGGCCTGCGGGGGCCGGGCGTCCTGGGCACCCGGGATTGGCGTGCCGGCAACCTTCTCCCGTCGTGCACCGGGGCGCCGGCCGCTCACCCGGAAGGAGAAGCCTAGAGTCTTACTGTAGAGTGGGGCACTGGCGGTGTTGCTGTGGGGAGTGGGTTCTGCTCTCAGGTGAGGGGGCGTGGGCGGGGCCGGGGGGAGTGGGTGCTGCTCTCAGGCGAGGGGACGTGGGCGCTACGCTTAGGCTGCGGGCTTGAGCGTCAGCAGTGGCGCTTAGGGTGGCGACCTCGCTGGCCATCCTAGAGAACGAGCGGTCTCACCTCCCGGGATGAAGGCGGGTGCTTACTTGGGATCCAAGGAAGGAAACCCGGCTTTTCCATTTATTTTTAAAGTATAAAGCATCTTTCCTTCCCACTCCCCAAGTTTAGTAGGCAAAGGGGAATAAGGACCACATGGCCTTTTTGCTCCTAGTTCGTTAGGAGTACGGGGTGTGTGTGTGTGTGTGTGTGTGTGTGGCCGGAGTAAAAGAGTTTGGCTACATTTACCCAAACACTAGGACTAGGAGTAATGGCAGGTATTTTACGGGGACACAGAAGGCTCTTGTGCTAGATTGTGGTTGCCTTGTTACTTAACCTGCAAGTGGAAAGACTGGCAAGTTACACATGAACAAAAGAATGGAGCAAAGAATAGGCAGAGCTTGGTCAGACAGGGGAGCTGCTTCTACCACCTGTGGGTGTTTCGGAAGGAGAGCTTTTTGAGTTGCCATCTGGCACCAAAGGGCTGAAGAATGAGTAAGAAAGGATGGGAGTCTCGGTGGCTCAATATAAAAGTTATCACCTGATTTGTTTTTTTAACATGTCTTTTTAAGTAGTTTAAATGGGAGTGAAAATGGTGGAGCTGAAGCCTTGAACTGCTGCCTTGAATTGTTTAGACATAGGAAAGCTTTACAAGGAATCTACTTTGTAAACAGCAAACAGCTGGATTTTACCCGGAGATACTGGTGCTGGTACAGGTGGAGAAAGTAAAGGAAACTTCACATGTGATTGAAAGGGCCCAGGAAATGTAGCTAGCGCTGAGTGAGTTGCATTAAGTAGCTGAGAGGATCACTGACTCTATCCTTAGTTGGATGACACATGGATGCATCTCCCAGATCATACTGCTAAAATTAAGAACTTCCTCCTTCCCCTCCAAGGGTAGAAATGAGCTTCATTTCCTCCTGAGGAGTGGCACCTACAGGGAGGGAGCTGGGAGAATAGTAGTTGCTAGAAATTATTACTTGAAGTATAGGTTTTTGTGTTTGTTCCATTGTTTTTAAGGAAAGTTACAATTGAAACATTTTTAGTGCCCTTTAAACTTAGTTTTAAGTATATAGCGTCTTGGGGGGTCCTAGGCTTTTTTTAAAGCCAGTTTATAGCTATTTGTTTCTAAGTGGTATAAGCCCCAAAGGAGAGGAGCTTGCTCTCGGAGCCTTAGGCAAACTCTCTTTGAGCCTGAGAATGATGACCATTTAGTTACTAAATTATGGTTCTGAATTTGGCAAACCTTTCAAGGCACTGGAGATGTGTGAGCTCTACTGAGGTGTGGATTTCCTTGTCATCATCTCTCCTATGGTTACTTTTGTGGAAAGACACTTCAGTGTATTTAACTCTGCTCTTGTGCTGGCAAGTTACCAAATGCCTGAAAAGAGAAGAGAAAAAAATTTTTTGTTTAAATCTTAGGAGGTTAATTGTTCACAGTGAGTTGGCCTGCTCTTTTTGATCACAGCCATTTGCTTACATCCAGGATGTTATACATCAGTTGTTACGGAATTGGGATTTCTCGCCTTTCAGTTCAGGACCCCTTTGCAGTGGTGACTGCATCAGCTGAAAAATCAGAATGTCAGCAAGAATACTGTTGAAGATGGCATTGCAACCACAGAATTTCCAGTTTACTCGACTGTGTAGCCCAATTTTGTCATATATCGTGCAGCTTCATCTCTGCGTGCAGTGTCTGTGTGTGAAGAGACCTTCTGGTATGCTGAAAAAGATTGGAAAAGCTGTGTGCTCTGCTAATTTTATGGTGTAAATGAGTTCCCCTTCTCTTGAAATGTTAGCCGTGTGAGCACAACATAAGGAAACTCATTACACACTCTTCTAACGGTAAGGCAGAACTAATAAGAGAATGTGTTTAAAATTAATTGTGGGACTGTAAAAATGAGTGGGTGTGTAAATGGGCTTGGGGAGAGGAGAGGGAGAGCTCAGAGATATAGCCTTGTTTTCCCAGGAGCCAGCCTGGATCATTTGTTGGCAGTACATATTGGCTGAAGTCAGTTTTCATTTCAAGGTAAATTGGAAAGGGAAATTAAACCTTATTGTTCCACTCTTAAGAGAGGAGAATGGGGTGGAGGCGGCAGCCAGAGTGGATGCTGTTGGAGTGGTTCTAGGAGTAAAAAGATCAGTGCTGTATTTTAACAGAAGGTGACATCATGGGCGCCTTTGGACTTGAGTAACCCTGGCTGCAGCCTTCATGGTCCCCTTGTTGGAGTGGGCGATGTTGCTGCACATGTAAACTGCCACACTGGGGGAAATCAGTGGCTTAGGCTTTAATGAATCTTTGCAAAGGAGTGGAAAACATCCTGAGTCGACTTGTGCAGCTGTGGGGTGCTTGGGCAGTGGTATAAACCGCATGTCGAGAGAGGAAATGATCAGAACCATTGGCTTGGGTTCTGGAGATGGGATTAGATAAGGGAAGGTCACAACTGGGCAACCCACTCAGGTGCCCCCAGCACTCTCCAACTCTGAGATCTGTCTCTGGGGCGGTGACTGACTGTGCTTAGCAAGACAAAGAGAGACCTAGGAGCAAAGGCGTTTGTGGGGTTTTGGTTGTCTCTAAACAGCCGGGAGGGGGCAATGTTAGGTTCACTTAGAGAGCTGTGCTGTGTGTGCCCACAGACACTGCTGTGCCTGCAGTTCTCAGGCAGAAAGGTTTTATGACTCAGCCTGCCTGTTCTGGCTGCCTGAGGCGACAGTGTGTAGACCTGAACATGTTTTGGCTAGAGGTGGCCTGGTTCAGGGTCCCCGCCATGGTCTGAGAAGGGAGGCAAATCCTCCAGGGCTTTTAGCTTGGCACCTAGCTCACGTAGGGGACTTTTTTTGCTTCCTCTTAAGTTTTACACAAGAACAAAAAAGTTGCCTGGATTTCCCCAGGGGGGTGTCGATTAAAAATTTTCAGGGTCGGGCTTCCCTGGTGGCGCAGTGGTTCATGCCCCGGTCCGGGAAGATCCCACATGCCGCGGAGCGGCTGGGCCCGTGAGCCATGGCCGCTGAGCCTGCGCGTCTGGAGCCTGTTGCTCCGCAACGGGAGAGGCCACAACAGTGAGAGGCCCGCGTACCGGGAAAAAAAAAAAAAAAAAAAATTTCAGGGTTTTGTCCTGGCCAAGAGAGAGAAGAGTAGACGCATACTAACAGTGATTGATCCTGTGTCTTCTGTCCCTCATCAGATGTTTTCTTCCAATGGGCTTTTGGTGTAGAATGTTGGAGAACCAAGAGCAGGAGGTAAGCATGTGGTCTCTGGGCAACAGGTGGGTAAATGTTTGAGGGGATTTGGGAGATTCAGATATTGCTTGGTGGTGTTCTTCTGACACTAATACCTTGGTAGTTCTGATGAGCTCAAGGTCAAGCCAGAAGAGGGAAATCAGTAGTAAAGGCATTACTGGGAAATGAGGTTCCATTTTCACTAACTTTTCCATTCGTTGGAATGTACTAGAATGTAAGCTTCATAAGGGCAAGGCTTTTTGTCTCTTGTTCTTGTTCTACCCTAGTGCCTTAGCACAGTGCCTGCCACATACAGGGTGGTCAATAAATATTTGCCGAATTGAATGAATAAATGAACAAATGGATGAAAGTTGGTGTTGAGTGGAAAAATCTGGTAACCTTTGTGTCGAGGCCACCTTACTGTGTGGCTGCGCTGAAGCTGAAGGAGCATTTCTTCCCTCCAGGAGGTGATCACTGTGCGTGTTCAGGACCCCCGCGTGCAGAATGAGGGCTCCTGGAATTCTTACGTGGATTATAAGATATTCCTTCATGTAAGTGCATCCAATTTTGATATTGGGGTCAGCACCCTCCAGGGCTGAGGGCCAGTCTTGAGGCAGAATCTGTTTATGGTTGTTTTGACAGAAGTAAAGGAGGGAGGAGAGGAAAGAGAGCCTGGGGTTTGCCTGAGAGTTGTTTTCAGGCTGCCTGGTGGCATCTTGCTCTGCTTGGAGCCCTCGATCAGGACTGTGGCCTGGTGGCTTGGGTCCTTAGTGAGAGTGACGATGGGGAGTTCATGTGAACTTGGGCTTTTTCCACTAAAGCCTTTTCATGTGCTGCCTCCTGTAGACCAACAGCAAGGCTTTTACTGCTAAGACATCCTGTGTGCGTCGCCGCTACCGAGAGTTTGTGTGGCTGAGAAAGCAGCTACAGAGAAACGCTGGTTTAGTGTGAGTTTGCTCTTGTTTTCTTCTTGGGTCTGAGACTGGCTTTTTAGGTGCTTACCTGGCAACTGGAATTTACAATGAAAAAAGCTTGGCAACTTGCCAGGTACTGAGGACATTGAGAAATGTATTCTTAAATTATGTTTTCAAGTCAGTGAAAAAAGTAAGACAGCGTTCTTATTTCTAATATTTTGACCTAACAAAGCCAAATAAATCTAAAAAATATTTTTCTTTTTTAACATGCATAGGGCTAAATAGTCTAGGGCTAAAGAAAGGTACTGCTGGCTTTTTAAGTGTGCTTCACTGGTTATGAGAAGCTTTTTAGCATCTGGAATAAATTGACAGGTGGTGTTCCCGTCCATTTGATATATAAAAATAGTGATTACTTTTTTCTTTTTTGTGTAGAGACCTCTATCCAGAGTTGTAACAGACTGAGAGCCTTAGGAAAAGCAGTAGTGTTCACTCCTCACCTGCATGCTTCAAATAAGTCCTAAAACTTGAGACAGTTTAGGACAGTGATTCCACCACAGTGTGGCCACTGAATGCTCTGGTGACCCTGTTGATGACGTAGCCAGTTAGTTAACGTGTGGGACTGATGGGGCCATTGTCATGGGTCAGGCCCTAATTAGCCAGTTGGAACTTCCTCTGAACAGACCCTGCATCCTCTAGTCTGGCCTGCCATTTTTTTTTTTTTTTTTTGCTGTACGCTGGCCTCTCACTGTTGCGGCCTCTCTCGTTGCGGAGCACAGGCTCTGGACGCGCAGGCTCAGCAGCCATGGCTCACGGGCCCAGCCGCTCCGCGGCATGTGGGATCTTCCCGGACCGGGGCACGAACCCATGTCCCGTGCATCGGCAGGCGGACTCTCAACCACTGCGCCACCAGGGAAGCCCTGGCCTGCCATTTTTAAAGCATGTGCCATGCTTCACAGGAGAGGCTAGGGAGGCTTGAAGAGTTTGTGGATTTTGCTGCAACTCGACTACTTTCAGAAAATTCCAAGCATGTGACCTTCCAGGGCTGGAGAAGGTAGTCTTAATTTACACAGAGGGACCCAGCATTCTCCATGTCTCTGTGTCCAAGTTTCTTCCTTTTTCAGTAATAGTTGATGGTGGGAATGGGTTTTGTAAACAGTGTAATCTAGCAGCATGGAGTTTTTAAGTCATAGACTTGGTTCAAATACCAACTCTGCTGCTTACTTACTAGCTGTGTGACACTGGGAAATTTACTTAACTTCTCTGTTTCTATTTCCTTACCACTAAAATGGGGACACTAATATCTTTCTCATGGAGTTTTGGGGAGTATTAAAGGAAGTAAGGTTAAATTAAAACATTTACAGTGCCTGACACACTCATGCAGTCAAGTCAGTGTTAGTCTCCTTCCCCTGCCACCTTATTAAATGCTGTTTGTATTGATTTGCACCTCTTTTTAGGGCATTTCCTTGATCAGGGACTGGAATGACTGTCTTGGATGTTACTTATCTTGGGCATGTTACATTATGTGATCCCACAGGCCTGTACCTGAACTTCCTGGGAAGTCAACCTTCTTTGGCAGCTCAGATGAATTCATTGAGAAGCGACGACAAGGTCTGCAGCACTTTCTCGAAAAGTGAGTGGACTTGGCGGGCTAGCACTTGCCTCCTGGGGAGGGGCCGGGGGGTGAGGTGTGTGTGCCGAGCAGGATGGCCCCTGTGAACATACAGGCACATTTGTGTCAGATGCCTTTCTTGCACCCTTGTGCCTTCAGTGCTCACTCAAGCCACAAGGCCTTCAGAGGATGGGGCTGGGGAAAGCCACTGCTTGGGGTGATGCTCTGTGTTGCCCTACCTGTGTTTGCCCCAGGGTCCTGCAGAGTGTGGTCCTCCTGTCAGACAGCCAGTTACACCTCTTCCTGCAAAGCCAGCTCTCGGTGCCTGAGATAGAAGCCTGTGTCCAGGGCCGAAGCCCCACGTCCGTTTCCGATGCCATTCTTCGCTATGCTATGTCAAACTGTGGCTGGACCCAGGAAGAGAGGCGGGGCTCCTCTCACCTGGCTAAAGGAGACCAGCCTAAGAGGTAACTGAAGTGCTCTATTTTGAGACACCAGTGTCTAGGATTATTGTAACCTGGGCCAGTGAGGTGTCCATTGGTAGAGAAAGCAGTAAGGTCACAGCGTCAGTGGCCTTTCAGAAGGGCCTCAGCCTCCTTGTGCATGGTTCTTTCATTCCATGCACAAAGGTCTTGTTTCTTTACTAACTCATCCCTGGGGAGCGTGCTCTCCTATTGGAACCTGAGGAGAAAGAAGAGAAGGATTTCTTATTTGTTTTGTTCTTTATCCTCTCCCCCAACCCCCATTTTCTTTTACTTTTTTTTTTAATAAAGTGCATTGTTCTTTTTTTAATTAATTTTTTAAATAGCATTAGATCTCTCTCTTTTTTTAATTTATTAATTTTTGGCTGCGTTGGGTCTTCGTTGCTCCGCGCGGGCTTTCTCTAGTTGCGGCGAGCGGGGACTACTCTTTGTTGCGGTGTGCGGGCTTCTCATTGCGGTGGCTTCTCTTGTTGCAGAGCATGGGCTCTAGGCGCACGGACTTCAGTAGTTGTGGCATGTGGGCTCAGTAGTTGTGGCTTGTGGGCTGTAGAGCGCAGGCTCAGTAGTTGTGGCGCACGGGCTTGGTTGCTTCGCGGCATGTGGAATCTTCCCGGACCAGGGCTCGAACCCGTGTCCCCTGCATTGGCAGGCAGATTTTTAACCACTGCGCCACCAGGGCAGTCCCTCATTTTCTTTCTTTCTTTCTTTTTTAAAAAATTTATTTATTTTTATTATTTAATTTTTATCTTTGGCTGTGTTGGGTCTTCATCGCTGTGCGCGGGCTTTCTCTAGTTGCAGCGAGTGGGGGCTACTCTTTGTTGCGGTGTGCTGGCTTCTCATTGCGATGGCTTCTCTTGTTGCAGAGCACGGGCTCTAGGTGCGTGGGCTTCAGTAGTTGTGGCACACAGGCTCAGGAGTTGTGGCTCGCGGGCTCTAGAGCGCAGGCTCAGTAGTTGTGGTGCACGGGCTTAGCTGCTCCATGGCATGTGGGATCTTCCCGGACCAGGGCTCGAACCCATGTCCCCTGCATTGGCAGGCGTATTCTTAACCACTGGACCAGCAGGGAAGTCCCCCCCATTTTCTTTAAATAACAACTTTATTGAGATATATTTACATACATAAAGTTCACCCTTTTAGTGTACAATTCAGTAGTTTTAGTTTATTCACGAAGTTGTTCAGCCATCTATCACCACAGTCAATTCTAGAATGTTTTCATCACCCCCAAAGAAACCTTGTGCCCATTAGCTGTGACTCCCCATTTTCCCCAACCCCCAGCCCTTGGCAACCAATGTCTACTTTACTTGTCTATGGATTTGTATATTCTGGACATTTCACAGGAACGGAGTCAGTCATACGGTATGTGGTCTTTTGTGACTGACGTCTTTCATTTATTACATTTTCACGGTGTGTCTGTGTTGTAGTGTGTATCAGCACTTAATTCCTTTCTACGGCCGAATAATATTTCTTTGTATGGAGAGACCTCCTGTTGTTGTCCATTCATTTTTGTTTACCTGTTCATGCCCTTAGTTTCCCTTTCCCTCTCTTTTCCAGTTGCTGCTTTCTCCCAAGATCGGGCAGGAGGAGCTCTCTCTCACCGCCTCCTGGGGAAGAAAAGGACAGTTTCGAGGTGTGGGCTCCTGTTGTTGACTCTGAGGCTCCTTCCTTGGAGAGCCCCCCTCTCCCACCTCCCTCCTTTCCGTCATGCTGTGGTTTTGCAAGACCTGATGAGGGAATCTCTGCTCCTCAGCCTGTGAGAAGGGCCATGGGAGGGGACCGTGCAGTGCGTTTGGATCCTGGTCAGTTGGAAACAGTTTTGGAAAAGTGAGCTCTGCTTGGAGCTCTGGGTTCTGCTCTGCGGCGGATGAAGGAGATGTGGGCCGGGAGACTTGCTCGGGTGGGGCTGGGCCCAGGCCGGTGGTGGGGAGGCTGGGCTGCTTTGTGTCTTACCGTGGCCTCTGCTCGCGCTGGTTGCGTGGAGGTCGGTGACAACTCGTCAGGCTTCTTCCATAGAAACAGACACAGTGCGGATGTTTATAAGTTAAGCACAAGGCGCAGGGGTTGTTGGTTCTGAACCACACCCCATATTTACTCTTCTGGGAGCTGAATTTCTTTAGATGTTTGTTAACAGGCCTAGGAGCATTGTCTCAGGTGACTGGTTTTGGGGACCTGTAGGTGGCAGATTTTAAGCTGCCATATTGAATATTGTTCAACAGAAATGCTTGTGTCATTGTATTCCCACTGGCTCTATTTTTGCTGCAGCCCCTGGAGCACTTAGTTTCTGGGAGGCTGGCCTCTTGCCTACCTCCTTGCATGGACAGGGAGGTGAATATTCTCCCACCTCCTTGCTTTTCCTCCACTAATACCACTGAATGGAACGGTGCTGTGACTCCTGTCACTGGGGTTTCCTGCGCATCCCAGGACCTCGGCCTGGCTTTATGGGGCCAAGACCCATGAAATAGCTCATGGCCATCCATGAAAGAGAAGGGTTTGGTCACAGCCATAGGAAAGGGACCAGTTCAGGGGCTTTGTTTTGGAAAGGATGCCCTGGGCTGTCACCATCTCTCTGGTTATAAAGCGGAGACTCGTCTGTCTTCTCTGCAGGGCAAGCATGGGCTCCTTTCTTTTTTGAATCCTTTTCTTCTCCCTTAGTAACAGCTCCCTGCCCCCAGGCTTCAGCCACCACGTGTCCCTCCGCTGTGTTGCCGTATGTTCAATCCAGTGGGGTGCAGGGGCTTTGTTTCTGCCTGGAGAGGGGGCTCTGGGGATGGAGATGAGGAACAACACGCCTTCCTTCAGACAATGAGGCATTCTGCCCTCCTGCTGCCGTAATTCTCTCCTCTGAGAGCCAGAGCTGGTAGGAGATGAGTGCCGCTGGCACTCTGCCCTGCCCTGCCCTTGGGTTTGTGTGTGTGGTTCTTCCCCTTCTTGCCCGCTTCTCCCTCCTCTGGCCATCGCACCCTGTCTCTGGGCTCTTTTACTACCAGCCTATGCTATGGGACTGTCATGGCATTTAGTTCAGAGTTGAGGGGTTTTGGCTTGAAATAAAATTCAAGTATTTAAGACTGTTGTTGCAGTTGGTGTCTAACAAGCTGTAGCAGTGGAGGAGGGAGTGAGGGCTGGCAGTAGTTACTTTCATAAATCATGAATTTATCAGCGTGGAAATAATGGTTCAGAACCGTGCACGGCAGCTCTCCTGTATTGTGTGTGCAGCTCAAGTTCACCACTGGAGGAAGAATTGCCTTCCAAAGAGTCAGGATCCAGCTCCTCTCACAGTTATGGGCACGAACCTTGTTAGGTATAATTTACCTGATGCTGCTTCCGTCCTCGCAGCCTGTCTGAGGTGCCAGGTGCTGAAAGAGAAATAAAGTTTGTCAACAGGCAGATGCGGAGCCCTCGCTGGGACTCATTTCTCTTTCCTGCCCGCCTCCCCTGGGTCTCTCCTTTATATGATGCAGCAGAGCAAGGCGAGGATAGAAAACCTACAGAGGCAAATCCAAAATGTCAAAAGAAGTTCATTTAAAAGGGGAAAAAACTCCATACACAAACCTCACAAAAACCCGACAGATGCTAAGCTAATGGTATCCGCTCTGCCGATTGGTGGGGATGACTCATGAATATTAATGAGTCCAATGCTCCAAATGGTGCAGCTGTGAACCCAGCTGTGCTTGAAGCTCTCTGATTTCAAAACTTACAGACAGGAGCCGGAGGTGGTCTGTGTCAATTCCCTACTCAGCCAAAAAACAGCAAGCTGTGTTGGCCTTCTTCTGTTCACTCCTTTTCTTCCTGGAGTTGGTGCTCAGCAGCTAATTCTGCCAGCAGGGTAGGCTGCTGGGACAGCAGGAGCTGCTCAAAGACACGGATGCAATTTTTCTGACTCTTGGCTTTTTTTTTTTTTTTTGGTGTACGCTGGCCTCTCACTGTTGCGGCCTCTCCCGTTGCGGAGCACAGGCTCTGGACGCGCAGGCTCAGCAGCCATGGCTTACGGGCCCAGCTGCTCCACGGCATGTGGGATCTTCCCGGACTGGGGCACGATCCCGTGTCCACTACATCGGCAGGTGGACTCTCAACTACTGCGCCACCAGGGAAGCCCTCTTGGCTTTTTAAATGATCCATTATCAGCAGTGCATACAACAGCACCTCAGTTAATCTAAGGCCAGGCACCATCCCTGCACTGCCTTGTGCACAGTTGAGTGTAGACCATGGAAGGAGATGTCCTGAGAGGGGAAGAGTTTTTCTATGGGCCTGGAATTACCAGAAAAACAGCAAAGATGGATTTTTCTCTTCATCTAGGCAGTGCCATCTGCCTGTCTCCCATTTTGCTCTGTCCCTGTGTGTACTGAGGGCTGCCACCGATGACCTCTGTAGGGAAGATAGGGAACTACTAGGGGGAGTGGCCTATTGAGTTGTTTTGTAGAATGGAAGTATTTTTGGTTTGAAGTAGGTTCTGTGCCTGACTTATAGTTACCTAATTTTTTTTTTTTTTTTGGCTGTGCCATGCGTCATGTGGGATCTTAGTTTTCTGACCGGGGATTGAACCTGTGCCCCTTGCAGTGGAAGCACAGAGTCCTAACCACTGGACTGCCAGGGAATTCCCTAGTCACCTTTCTTCCGACAGCTAGTTTCGTGGACCAAGTCTAGTCATCTGTTACCCAGGATAAGTGATCCCAATCTCATGGGTTTCCTTTTGTTTGGTGGAAGTGTGTGTGTGTGTAGGAGGAGATGGGTTTTCTTGTGTGAACATAGTAAGTTTCATATGCATCTTTTTTTTTAAATAAATTTATTTATTTATTTATTTTTGGCTGCGTTGGGTCTTCATTGCTGTGTGCAGGCTCCTCACTGTGGTGGTATACTAGCTCTGTGTGTGTCCCTTCCCCTGGTGGCCTTGTTGGTGTGGGAAGCCAGGCCCACCAGCAGCCTGACCTGAAGCCCTGTAGCAGAAGGCCCAGGATAGTGAGAACCTGTGTTGGTTTGTTGGAGGCAATGCAACCTGCCTGCTATAAGCTATGAGACTTAGATATATTCTACCAATTAGGGCACATCTGTTAGCAGTGCTGAAAGGCCGGCACTGTCTCTTTAAGAGCCATCCCACTCCTCTCCTTGAGTGATGAGGGCTGGGGGCACAAGGGAGTCAGATGCTGATTAAACAGTCCTACTGCCGAGCTCTGTTAGAAAATTACTGTAATTATGATCTAGTCCCAGCAGAGGGATGAGTTCCAATCCTGCTAATAACCCTTCCAGGTGCCTCAGATTCAGGGCCCATGGGAGGCAGCATGGTTAGGCTCTGGCTGGCAGCAGGGCCAGCAAAGGCCCTCCTGTCTGGCCTCTGCAGGCAAAGACAACAAAGGCGCTGGACCTCTCATCCTCTCTTGGCAGTGGGTTTTGGTTGTCTTTTGTTTTATTTTTTTGATTCTTTTTTTTTGCTGTACGCGGGCCTGTCACTGTTGTGGCCTCTCCCGTTGCGGAGCACAGGCTCCGGATGTGCTCCTATTTTTTTGATTCTTGACAGAGCTCCTGGGAGTCATTTTGTATGAGAGAACTTTCCCCTAAACTAACACGAAGGACCAGGAAAATCACAGCCGCGAGAGGACTGTTCTGACTCCCAACTTCTGCCCCGATCTGCAGCTGGCACCGCACCAGTCCCACACAAAGCGCAGGGAGCCAGTGCGGGCCCTTGCACCGCAGCTGCTTCTACACTGTTTCTATGAATCTGGGTTTCTTGCTCCGAAGTAGTACACAGTGTTAAACTCAGTCCTGATCAAGACTTTCAGGGCTCCCCTTTTAGATGTCTGCTACAGAAACAGGAAAAAGGATAGTTACCACAGGGACTCACTGTGATGCCGCTCTCTAAATCGGCAAGCACTGGTTTATTCATTTGAAAACATCATTCTTGTAGTGCAAATCTGCAGCAATGCAGGCGAGCAAATCTCAGATTCCTGTGGAGCGTGGGGGCTGGCTTCCTGGTTCTTAAACCCTGAGGAATTCATGACATGTATACTCTCTGTCTTCCCAACTTCATAAGCCTCTCTCTGTCACTGTAATCCAGTAGCTAAAGCCCAGACTTCTAGAAGGCAGGGCAGTTTCTCTGTACTTGGCCCTACGCACACCCAAATGCCCTGAGACAGTGGTTCTTCACCAGGGGTGGTTTTGTTCCCAGGGCACATTCGACAATGTCTAGAGACATTTTGGGTTGTCAGAATGGGTGGGGGGGTTTGAGGGGAGTAGTACTGGCATCTAGTGGGTAGAGGCCAGATGCTGCTGCACATCCTACAGTGCCCCAAGAACATATAACCTGGCCCCAGATGTCAATAGTGCCAGGTTGAGAAGCCCTGTACTAATAGAATGAGGCAATAAGCTCTAAATCCCCCCACCGCCCCCAAACCTCCAATGCACTGCTTTGGTTGCAAATCTCCAGATGGCAGGTGCTTTCCTGGAGGTGGAATATATTAATGACAGGCTTAGCAGGGTGCCCACCGTGGGAGGCATCCAGTAAATGTAGGTGGTGTGCATGTGCCACCTTGGTGATTCAGGGCAGAGCAATGCCAGTGCCTGACTGTAGTTAAAAGGGAGGTTTTGTATCCTGTTTTCTGTTCCATGATCGCGTGTGGGGCATAAAAGGTGCCCAGCTGCTCACCATCAGGCTAAGAGTGTCTACAGTGGACCCAGATGCCTTCTTTGAGGACCAGCAGTAGAAGCCTCTTGGAGCTAACTCCCATGGCAGGAGGCAGGGAAGTGGCATACTCTTGCCCAGTGCCACAGAAACGCTTCTCTCAGTGGCACTCTGCCAGGTGGCGGGTGGTGATGGGCCCCATGAGGGAACTGAACACACACAGCTGCTGATGACCAGCCAGCGCCCGAACAGCTTGATGTCAGAGACATCAGGTCTCTTGGAACAGCCTGGGCATCAGGAAAAGAAAGCCTAGTTGGCAGGGTTTTCCTAGGAGCCAGGCCTGCAGGGGAGAGGACTTCATTAGAAGGGATGTTGCCAAGCATCAGCCAGGAGAATCAGGCTGTCTCTATCTACTGCCCACTCTCCTGGTGACTAGGCAGCCCATTTTGCCTTATTTTTAGGGTGACCACTCATCCTGGTTTACAACTACCGTCATGGCATCCTTATTAATAATGCCCCCTTTCATTCTCAAAAGTGTCTCCATTTGGAAAATAAACTACATAGTTGCCTATTAATTGTATTTTAGTTTCCTCTAATACTATAGTTTTTTGGGGGGCGGGGCATCATATTTAGAAAAGATATTTGTGCAAAATAGGCTGCATCTTAAAATATATCATTAATTGAATCTCAAGAGTTGCAAAAGGGTGGTCATCAATTCATACTAACTGAAAAGAAAAAGAAAAAAAAACAGAAGAAAAACATATTTTCTGAACAGTTTTTGATAGGAAAATAGGGAGAATAATTCAGAGCCCTTGAAGAAGAAAAATCTCTTTAGTTTTACGTTTCAGGCTCCCTACCCAATCTGTGTAAATTCTAATGGGAGATGAAATAGCTGGGCAGGAGGGAGGGGGAAGCAAGGGACTGTGGTAATCCACAAACTAGAAAATTAGTTTGAGTCACTGGGCTGTGTAGCAGGGATAATCCTCTATGTAGACAGCTGCTTTTTCTAAAGTCAGCTCCACAGATTTTGCTGGTGCTCTGGGAATTAGCAAATCAGTACCACTCAAGATTTATCCTTCCAGAGTTGCTCCTGGTGGAGAGACCTGCAGGGAGAGCTTCCTTTTGGCCAGAGGTTAAAGCACCTCTGTCCCTGACATTCAAGAGTTTTGTTCTCAAGATGAGAAGGAACAAAAGAAAAAAAAACGAAGAAGGAGGAACATACAAACATACGTTGGATTCTTTTTTTCCTTTCTTGCTTCTCTTTTTTTTTTTTTCGGTACGTGGGCCTCTCACTGTTGTGGCCTCTCCCGTTGCGGAGCGCAGGCTCAGCGGCCATGGCTCAGGGGCCCAGCCGCTCCGTGGCATGTGGGATCTTCCCGGACCGGGGCACAAACCCGTGTCCCCTGCATCGGCAGGCGGCCTCTCAACCACTGCGCCACCAGGGAATCCCCTCTTGCTTTTCTTCAACTCCCTTTCTCAGACTGATTTATAAAGGCAGGACTGCCCCCCCTCCCCAGCCCCCCCCCCAACACAGACACATGCTTCATGACACCACTGCTTTATTGTGATGTAAGTGATTGGTGTGAAATGTGGATTTTGGAAATGTGTCACTGGAGGTGTCTCACTGCAACAGAACTCAAGTGATTCAATAAGCAGAGCGGCAGCCTGAGATTTTCAAGAGTCCCTCATTTCATTTCCTCTTCAACAGCAGATTTTGTGTGATTTTTGTTCAAGTCACCACCTTTCAGATCCTCAGTTTTGCCATTTGCAAAGACTAACTGATTACAAATAAGGTGGTGCAACTGAGCAAGCTAAGGTGCTAAAACAGTTAAGGATAACTTGAAATCTAGGCTATCGCTTACATATTATGTTTAGATAAAGTATCTAACAGGAGGGAGGACATTTAGTTGGCCCCTCTTTAAATAGAATCAAAATGTCTGGGTTTAGGGAATGAGACTTAATAGGAATTCTCTTCTCTTTCCCATTTTTATTCACCAGAGGGAAAAGATGTCGTTGGTTTTGAATTAAATACAGATTTCTAAGAGATAGACCATTGTGTGGGAAAATTGAATACTGAGGTAACTGTAAAACAATGTCTGTGCTATTTTGCTATATGGATGACAGAGGAAACACACTGGAAAAATGTATTTTTAATGAAATGTAGCTGAAAGATTGCTTTCAGAGCATTTAGCATTCTCAGATTATCAGCTTGGATGAGGCAGGCCAAACTGTACCCACCTCAGGTCAGGTTATCCAGTGGAAGTCAGTAAGTTCTGTGTAAATTACTATATATCTGTGAAGGGCAGATATGCATTTGCTTCTTAAACATAGGATTTTAGCTTTCTTATTTTCTCTCCTTTACATAATATCAAGGGAGGAAAAGGGCCTCCCACCTCTTACCCTCTCCAGTTTCATGTGCTAGAGTAATTAGTGGCTTTTAAGAAGCCATCCTACATATAATGTGGTTAGTTAAGTGGTCTAATGCCCGTTATCCAGTTAGTCACAGGCAGTAAGGTGGGGATTTGGTTAGTGGAGTCAAACAGAGAAGCAGTAATCTGATTAGCCAGTTGCTTTCTGAGGCTGTTGGCTAAGATGGTGGCTGTGGAACTGAGCAGGTCTGCTGGGTGAGGTTTAGCTTCAGGCAGACTGTAGGAATCCACTACTTCCCAGAGGTCTCCTTTAGAACTTTCCCCTAACAGAGAATGCCCTTTGTCTGTAGATAGTCTCGAACTTGCACTACCTTTTCCAGCATGTTATAAGGTCAGAAATAGCCAGATGGCTATGGACCAGATTCCCAATTAGTCCATTTGTTTATATCTTTTAGGGCCAATCTCCTTTTTCCTCTAAGTTTTACAGCTAGAACGTGAGTGTGGTGCAGTAGACTGAGGTGCCAAAAGACCTTTGCAGTTTGGCAAGTTGCTGGTTTCCTCAGGTCTGGAGGTATAGAAAGGACTATTGCACTAAGGGGGTTTTGTTTTAAATACCAGAAGCCAATGGCCATGCCACTGAGAGTGTTGAACTGTGCAGAGTGGAGAAAGTACCTGACCTTGCTCCTTTTTCATTCCCCTTCTGACCCGGCCCCAGATACCCCCTCTTCCTCCTCTGGTTTCCCCTTTTCTGGTGTCTTAGTCATGGAGCGGTGGCACAGTGGTATTCTCTCCTGTTAGCCACCCAGCCTTCCAGAGTTGGGTCCCTGAGGGTTCTCTAGGGAGGGGGTTAGTTGGGCACAGAGGGGTTTCTGTTTGCTCCTTCCATGAACCACTTTAACAATGCCCATTGTCTTTACCTGTAGGCTGGGATTGGTGCAAAGGTTCCTAAAACGGAAGGCAATTGGTTCCCTTTGGTTCATCTGCTCATCTGCTGCCACCTAGTGGTTGCTTCTTCTTTGGCACCCTGTGTAAAGTGGAGGGGACGTTATGGACAGTTCTGTAGTGCCTTTTGTCTCTTTTTTTCTCCCTTCCAGACTTAAATTGTTCCCTTTTGTTACTTCTTTATCCATCACATATAACAAAGCTTTCTTTTGTTTTACTCCTGGGTCAGAAAAATCTGGAAATGAATAGCTGGCATAGGATCTTTGGATAAACTTGGAATCCACTAACATCCCTGTTTGCTCCCAGTTTCTCTCTGTGGTGACATGAAATGGTCTTACTGCAGGGCTATGATATTGTTGTTAAGAGGTGAGGAAGGCTACTGCCAAGCCAGAACAGCTCTGAATAGAATAGGCAGCTTCGAAGATAAAATTTCTATAGCTGCTCAGTTGCCCATCTCTCAAAATTTCTTGTGTAGAAAGTCAGGCAATAATATAACTAAACCTTACTGAGCAGTAACTTACTATGTGCCAGGTGGTGTTCCAGGTACGTTACACGTTAACTCCTTTAATCTCCTAATGACCTGGTGAGATGGAGTATACCCCTTCTAAGGTGAGGAAATTGTGGCGTAAAAGGTCAAGTAACTTGCTCTTAGAGAACATATGTAGTATACAGGGAACTGGGACTTATTTCCAGGTTGTCTGGTCCTAAAGTTTATGGTTTTTTTTTCTGGGCTGCGCCTCGCAGTTTGGGGAATCTTAGTTCCGGTGACCAGGATTAAACCCACGCCAGCAGTGAAAGCCTGAGTCTTAACCACTGGACCACCAGCGAATTCCCTCAAAGTTTATGTTCTTTTTTTCTTTTTTAAAGATTTTTTTTTTTGGTGGACTATTTTCAAAGTCTGTATTGACTTTGTTACAATATTGCTTCTGTTTTATGTTCTTTGGTTTTTTGGCTGCAAGGCATGTGGGATCTCAGCTCCTTGACCAGGGATGGAACCCACACTCTCTGCATTGGAAGGCGAAGTCTCAACCACTGGACCACCGCCAGGGAAGTCCCAAAGTTTATGTTCTTAACCATTATGTTTTGCTGCCTCTTGAAGGCACAGATAACCCGAGTGCTAGGCACAGGCAACAGGAAAAGGAAACAGGGTCGTATAGACACAAGCCCTCCCCACAGCACTCCCTCAGCCTGCAGGACACAGTGGGGTTGTTAACTGAGGCCCAAAAGGGAACTCTCCCATGTGCTGACTCCAAAGACTCGCTTCTAGCCCTGTCTCATTTCAGACAGAGTGAACACAAAAGAAAAAAATAACAAGTAGGCAGTGAAAGGAAGTCTGAGAAGCCGACCAGAAACCAGGCAAGCCTGGGTTCCAGAGATGGTCCTGCCCTGAAAGACAATTGCAAGCCCTCTTCTTTGTTTGGGCTTTTGTTTTCTTTCAGGCTCTCCCTTCCCACTTGGTGGTTTTTGTTTGTTTGTTTTTGTTTGCTTTTGGCTGCGAGGCATGTGGGATCTTAGTTTCCTGACCAAGGGATTGAACCCACGTCCCTTGCATTGGGAGCGTGGAGTCTTAACCGATGGACCGTCAGGGAAATCCTCCCTTCCCACTTTGTTTGGAGGCGATACGAATACCCAGAGCCAGCACTTTGATACCAGTACAAAAAGAAACACAACACCATCACACAGGGCAAGGAACCAAATCTGAGGTTTATTCGTGCTTTTCAAACCAGCCAAAGCAACCAGCAACTTCTTCCTCCAAAGGTTTCTCTCTCTCTCACCTTCTCTGTGACAAGCCTGTGGAAAAGGCAGAAGTGGGTATGTGGAGATGTTTAGAGATGGGCTCAGCTATGAGGAGGCAAGTTTAGTAACAGGTCTGCTGAACATGCCTCTTCTCACTTGTCTCATTGATGGTTTACAGTTACTACACGGTGGGTGTCAGAGACTTGGGTCTCTTCTGTACAGGGAAGAGCCCATGATGTTGTTGGGCTGGATGGTACAGGGAGTGGGAGCGCTTGATCATCAGTTTCTTCATAAAGGTGGGGTAGAGAGAAGGGTACGTGTCCTAAAGGAGGAAAACTACACAAATTTATGATTCAAAATATAGAAGATATAAAAGGGCATAGAGTAAAAAGTGTCTCCCTCCTGCCCTGTGTCACAGTCACGCAGTTTCTCTGTCGTTGGAGGCAACCAGTGTTATCCTCTTCTTTCTCCTTCCAGCGGTAACTCATACATATAAAAGTAATTGGAGACTCCCTCTTTACACAAATGGAGCGAATTAGACCTACCCTTCACTGTTTTTTGTTTTTTTTTTTTTTGCGGTATGCGGACCTCTCACTGTTGTGGCCTCTCCCGTTTCGGAGCACAGGCTCCGGACGCGCAGGCTCAGTGGCCATGGCTCACGGGCCTAGCCACTCTGCGGCATGTGGGATCTTCCCAGACTGGGGCACGAACCCGTGTCCCCTGCATCGGCAGGCGGACTCTCAACCACTGCGCCGCCAGGGAAGCCCTGCTTTTTTTTTTTTAAACTTACCAACTTATCTCCTAATGTGGCATAGTATTCAGTTCCCTGAATTACTACAGTTACTTGGCGAGGTCTCTATTGAACATTTAGGTCATTTCCAATAGTTTGCTATTGCAAACAACCTTGTGTGTATATCATTTTGCACGTGTGCAAGTGTAGCTGTAGGATAAACTCCTAGATGTGGAATTGTTGGGTCAAAGAGAATGAGGAGATAAACAAGTTTGTCATGGAATAAATGACAGAGTGAAGTAGGGTGAATTTATTTAGATTTGACAAAAAAATTCCAAGCCTTCTGCATTCATGGCCTGGAAATGGAGTCCTCATTTGGAAAATCATAAAGTCAAACCTTGAGCAAGAGGCCCCAGCTGGTGCTTCATGATTGTACAGGGGCATCAGAGAGTAAGATCTCTCCTTATGTATTTTCCTCAATGAACCACTCAACTGCTGCTGCACACTAGAGTGGGCCCTGGTCTGAAAGATTCCAAGGCCAGTTTGTATCACTGTCACACATAACATCCTTCACCCCATCAATAAAGGCTGCTTCCATTTCAGGCCAGAAGATGGAGCTAGTGATATCATGCTAGCCTTGGTGTCCTCCATCACCATCCTAATTCTAATCCTATTGTTACCCCACCCAAAGCACTCACTCTGCTGTTTTAAAGTATGATGTGGTTCTTGCTGATAAAATGCAATCCATATTCTTTGTTACCTAAAAGTTAATTTGATTATGTTCCATAGGAATCCTCATACTGGATTCCTAATCTTTGCCAATCATATTGCAATACACGGGCATTTGGGGGAAATGGTACTCTGGATTTGAGAGCTGTGCGTAAAGAAACAGATCCATCCTTGTGGCACAAATTCCTAATTCTCCAATATTCATTCTCCCTTTTAAATTTATTAGTTCCACCACCGCCCGCCCCCCCCGCCCCCCGTCCCGGCCCGACCCTGCCCCACTCCACTTTTAAGCTGGACACAGATTCTACCTAGAAGAAAGCTTTCTTTGCAGCTTGGTGTCTCTGTATGTCCAAGTTCTGGCCAATGGGATGTAAGCAGAAGTGGTGTGTGCAACATCTGTGAAATGTCCTTAAAAGGAGAGGGTGTGCCCTTATCCTGTCATTTTATCTTTCCTGCTGGGTAGGATACAGACATGATAGCTTGAACTGGAGCATCCATCTTGGGCCATGAGGTAACCTGGGGAATGTTGACCACACACAGTGGGGCAAAAAGAGAAGGTACCTGGGACCTAGATACCTTGGATTACTTACCTCCAGATTTTTACAGAAGAGAAAAATAAATTTCTGTGTTAATTAATAACAATTAATCACTGTTATTTTGAGTTTTCTGTCACATGTAGTTGAACCTAATCCTGACTGACAGTCGCTTGATTTAGGAAAAACAATTACAGCCTTATCTTCTTTCAATGGTGAATTACCAGCATCACTTTTGGAAATGAAGAAAAGCTACTTCACTGGCAACTCTCATCCTTCACAAAGAAACAAAGGCATGGCCAACAAATTCATTGTCAATAGTTCTGATACCTGGGCTTCATCTTTCTTCCACTTCAAAGGTGGTGGTGAGATACTCCTTTGGAACAATCCCAATGATGCTGTTCAGTTCTCCAACCCACCAGCCATACATGTTATATTCCTGAAAAATGACAAGAGGATGGTTTCAGTTGGAATTTAGTCATGCTTCTGTTAATCTTTGTTAATCTGTTACATGATCACATGGGAGATTCTGTTGGGTGGTTTCTTTGTAGACACTGTCAGTACAACTCATTAACACCCCTGATGGGATTACTAAATTTAAAAGTTATCTAGAAGGAAGAAAAACTGCTTTTCTTTTGCCATCTTTCTGTCTACATTGTAAATTTAGCACATTTGGTGCCATTGCTGAACCTGAAGAGCATGTCTTTTACCAAGCAGAGTGGAACGGCTCCTTTGGGGAAAGTTGGGCACACCCTAAAATGCCAGAGCACTGAAGTATTCAGGGAGTCAGGTCATAGCGCAAATCAATAATATTTACCAAGCACCTTCTATGTGCAAAGTGTTGTTTGAGTTCCCATGAGATGGATGATGAATCAGAACACTGCTTGCTCCCTGGGAGTTTACAGCATAGAGTAATGGGCTTCGGAGTCAGACAGACTGGGATCTTGTCCCCACTTGGTCATTTAGTAACCATGTGACCGGAGGGTCTCCTGGCTTTAACTTCCTCTTCTGTAAGAGTAGGGATAATATCACCCCTCTGTTGTGGGGAATATAAGTGACGCCGCAGACATGAAAACAATTCAAAGTGCCTGATACATAGTAGGTACTCTAAACATTAGATTCCTCCCCTGGAAGAGGTCAGAGGTTGACAGGTCCATCAATAATGACAGGCAGGACATAAGAGCCACAGGGAGGGGCAAACAAGAAAGGGAATGAGAGGGTTTAAAAGAAGGGTTTGAGAGTGGAGCTCACAGGGTTGAGAACGGAGCTCCTTGAATACAGAAGAGCTTCTCAAAAGCACAGCAGACGTTGAACATTATAGGACTATTCCTGAGAGCACTAGAACATGTTTTCCTTCTTTTGAAGGAAGTGAAATTTAGGAATACATGGAAAATATACGTATTCCAGTTCAACTGGATTTGGGTACCATGGAGCCAACTGTCTGCCTTTTGCCCACCTGGCTGCTGAGTTCTAGGAAAAAAAGAAAACCAGGTTGCTGACACACTAAAATTCTGGGTCAACTGGTTATCTTTTTGTTTCTTTTTGTTAGTGTACCTCCCCTCCTCTAACTCTGCCTCTCCCCTTCCTCTCAGCAGCTGACCTCTTTTCCACCTTCAAAGAGAAAAGAGAAGCCATCAGATCTGTCAGCCACCCAAACAGGAACTTACCTAATGTGCACTTGTAACCCTTCTGCTTTTGTTCTTAGAGACCAGGTTCTAAGAAGTCTGACCTCTGCCTCTAACGTAAATGGCTCCTTATGTCAGCACTGAAGTGTGTTCAAGTTTCTTTTGTCTTTGAAAATAATTATTTAGTCCCTAATGCATGTCTGCTTCCCATTTCGACTAGTCTATGCTGCCAATTCACAAATTTATTGAAAGAATTTATTTCACTTACTGCCCCAACTTCTTGCTTTCTATCCACTCTTCGAGCCACTCTCATGAGGCTTCAACCTCCGTCATTCCACTTACGCTTCCTATAACCTCCTTATTGCTCAAATTCTATGAGCACTTTTCAATCCTTAATTTACTTGATCTCTCGGCATTGCTGGCACTATGGACCTTTCTTGAGGCATTTTCTTCTCTTAATTTCTATAATTATACTCTCCTGGATTCCATCCTACCTCCCTCTCTGGTTGCTTCTTTTCATTCTCCCCATCTTCCTCTATCCCTCCTTTTAATGTGGTTTTCCAGGGTTTCTGTCCTGGCCTTCTTCTGACTTGATGCACTTTTCTTGAGCAATCTTATACACCTCTGTGGTTTAGCCACCATGCCTGTAT